GTGAGGATGGCAAAGCTTTGTCTCACATACTTTGTGCATGTTGCAAGGAGAAGCTATTCATTGGACAAGGACATCATGCCTGGAAAGGTGGTAGATCAGTGAAAGAGAGGGAGACCCTCAAAGAGATGGCTTGGCACAGTGTCTGCAGCAAGAGGCTTATGTATTTCAAAGATGATAAGGATGGCACAGAATAGGACAGAGTTCAGATCTGTTGTCTATAGCATCACTAGGAGTCATATTTGACTAGACGGCACTTAAGAAAAAACAGCAACAAATTCTTCCAAGTGACCTTACTCACGGATGACTTTGAACATTTACAGAATGCAGATGACTGTGTATACAGCCTGAAGCTGTCACCTGCACTCTGGCTCCATCTACCCAACTGCCTCCTTGGCATCTCCATTTGACATGTGCACCGAAACAAAACCCCAAACCCCCTAAATCATTGCTGCCTATTGAAACCAACTCATAACTGTTTCTCAAATCTCATAGTGAAGGGAGTTCTGGTGGCCTAGTGGCAAGAAGCTGCACTGCAATCCCAGAGCTACACAGTTCAAATCCACCAGATGCTCTGCTGGAAAAGGAGGGGCAATCTCCTCCTGTGCCAGTCAGATCCAATTTGACAGTACACACACACAAATAATTACCCCCCCATAACAACTCATAGTTGTTAGGCCTGGGCAAGGGGCCAGGAGGGAGAACAAGAATTCAGAATTCAAAGTGGATGGCCTTGCCTGCTGCTGATAAGAAGAGCAAACAGCCTTGCCAGCCTAGCTGAACCTACCGTGGACCGTAAATTAAGAAGTGGAATGCAACTCCCTTTCTTCCCTGAATACTCCGTTATAAAAAAACCCATCCCAAAACGCCCCTCCTCCCGAGGTTGCGAATTCTCTGCTCTATCCCTTCAGAATGGAGAACTTGCCAGGCAGCTCCACTTGAATAAAAGTTATAACTTTTAACTTCATCTCTCTTTTGCTGACTTCTTTCAGAAATGCTGCAATACAATAGTGAGTTTTTCGAGGCTGTAAATGCACTGGGTGCATGTGTGTGTGTGTGTGCTCACCTATCTTTCTCCCTCAGCCACTGGTGAATTTGAACAATCAGAGAAGCACCTTTCTCATTATCTCGGACATCCTCACGTCCATTGTTAGAGTTACTGTGCTAATCCATGCTTTGAGGGTCTTTGTCTCTTTCTCTGGCCCTCCGCCTTTCCCAGCATGATGCCTTTTTCCAAGGACTGTCCCCTCCTGACAACATGCCCAAAGTATGTGAGACGGAGTTTCACTCTCTTTACCTCCAAGGAACTCTCTGGCTATACTCCTCCAAGGCAGACTTGTTTACCTTTTGGCAGTTCATAGGAATATTCACTACTCATCTCCAGCACCACAATTCAAAGGCATCGATTCTTTTGCCCTCCTTATTCATTGTCCAACTCTCAGATGCATATGAAACAACTGAAGATACCATGGCTTGCATCAGGTGCATGTACTTTAGTTTTTAAATGGACATCGCTGCGCCTTAGCACCTTGGAGAGGTTCCTTGACAGCAGATTTTTCCCACGTAACACGTGTTTTGAGTTCTTCACTGCTGTTATACCATGGATTCTGATTGTGGATCCAAGTAAAACGAAATCGTTGGTAACTTTTTCTGTATCTATCATGATGCTGCCTGTTGGTCCACTAGTGAGGATTTTTGTTTCGTGGTGAGGAGCTCTAATTCTCCTTTAAGGTTTGGAACCTCTGTTGCATTTAGAATAGCAGGTCCTTGAACTCTGAAGGCTAACCTGGCTATTACCTTAAGGATGGCATTCCTTTTCTCTGAAGTCTGGCAAGTGATGGGTCCCTTACCTATTCCCAAAGGACCTTTTTAAAATTAAACAGATGCAAAATACAATAGCTTGTACCCAAAGGATCTTGGTACAAAGCATTTTTTTAACTCTCTTTTTTATTTCCCATAGTATAATTACTTCAGTTCATTTTAAAATATTTACTGAATATTTAAACAATACTAAATATGTAAGCACTGGGCTCTGCTCAAATAAGTAATAACTCCTAAAAAAGAAAAACTGGGACTCATTCACCAGTACAGGGTCAGGTACTAAACATTAAAAAAAATTATATTGGTTTGCTTACAGAATTCATATACATTCTGTTTCATACTTTTTCTTCATTCACATTGTGCTTTATACAATCATTGGATCTTTACAACGAACTTGCAGAAATAGATATGGTTGAGGAAGGAATTTTACTAACAGACTGCCTTAAAAACTGTTCTGTCCCATGGAGGACATTATGCTGAGTGACATATCTCAGTCACAAAAGGACAAATACTTCATGGTGCCATTGTTGTAAAACAGGATTAGGTATGTGGTTTGAATCCATCAGATGCTCTGCTGGAGAAGGAGGGGCAATCTCCTCCTGTAACAGTCAGATTCGATTTGACGGCACACATACACAAAATAATAAAATAAAAAAGAAAAAAAACCCCTAAAAACAACCACCCAACAGGACTGATATCAGGGTTGGGGGGGAGGAAACTGAGAAAGATGGGGATAAATACTGCATTGAAACAGATGAGGGAGAAAACTGATTAAAAGGGATACGTGAGTTCCTTGTTTTTTAATGCAGCATAGTATTCCATTGTGCGAATATACCACAGCTTCTCTAGCCATTCGTTTGTTGATGGGCACTTAGGTT